AGCAAGATAGTACATTCTATCAATAATCATCATAAATAATGATTCTGTGATGAATAAATGTTACCCAATACTGTGTTGAAGTCTTGAATAATTATTTGCTTTTGGCATGGTGTGATATATATAGCCTATTGTACACGTAATAGTTATATTAATATAAAATTAAGGTTTAGTTTACCTAATTTTTTGATATTTTTCAGTCTTTGAAATTGATGTGTTTTTACAATTTTTATAATCAATGGATGACTAATGACAATGTCACCATAAATTTCGTCTTCAAATATCTAGTATCAGTGACGATTGATTTGGAGTATAATTCTAATTTGCTTACAATTTCTTGTCCTAAAGCTAAAATAATATAATTGATACTTGAATTTAAAAAAACCTTTCTCCAAGTTTTTAATTTTCAATACTAACATTTGTTCTTTTTCTACCCGAAAATTAATTAAAACTCATAAATACTTACCTTGCACTTGTTTATCTCTTTCAATTTGTTGCATGTTTATTATTGTTATCTTCTCTTGTAATAATTGTATGTCTTGTTTACTCTGAGCTAGTGATGCTTTACAATGTTCTAAATACTGAGACAATGAGTGATGTAGTTAAAATACCTTTTAACTTTTCATTTTCAAGTATTAAGACCCTTTGCACTTTATTTTTCACTATAATAATTGCAAAAAATGTACACAATTAAAAAAGTCATTTACTTTCATCTTTATTAGTTTTTGAGTGCGATTCTTTAATGTCTTCTGCAAAAGTTTCTTCACTGTCCTTCTCTTCCTGATAGTATGCTAACTGCGGTATGCTAAGTGATTGCATTTCTTCATCTTGCTTCTCAACCTTCTCTCTTTCTAGTTGTTTGATTTTTGTATCATATAATATTAATTTTATACTCATATTAATGAATTTTGCTGCATTAATAAATTTATTACATGTACCATCACAATCTTCCATATTATTTTGTAATTTTTTTCTATTTTTCACCATTAGCATAATAATTGTATTAATATTACCTTTTATCTCTGACTGGAATAAATCAAGCTGCTCTTCTAATAATTTGTTTCTGTATTTCAATTCCTCATTCTCCTATTGTAATTTTAAAAACTTATATATATACCATGGGCAAAAGCATTCCCGTGCAATCAATGATTTAGTCATTGTATGTACCTTATTTAAAGTGTTCACCTCCTCTGTACTATTGATCAGTTGTACACT